ACCAACTAAGTAAAGATCTGGAACATGAACTAGACAATGAGAGACTCAACAAGTGGAAAGCACATGCAGAAAGAGAAGAGATCAAAGATCCGGAACATGAACTTGACAATGACAGACTAGACTAGTGGAAAGCACATGCACAAAGAGAAGAAATCAAAGATCCGGAACATGAACTTGACAATGCACAAAGAGAAGGAATCAACTAAGCAAAGATCCGGAATATGAACTTGACAATGAGAGACTAGACTATTGGAAGCACATGCACAATGAGAAAAGACTAACTAAGTAAAGATCCGGAACATGAACTTGACAAGGAGAGGCTAGACTAGTGAAATCACATGCACAAAGAATAGTGATCAACTAAGGAAAGATCCGGAACATGAACTTGACCATGAGAAACTAGACTAGTGGAAAACGCATGGACAAAGAGAAGAGATCAAAGATCTGGAACATGAACTTGACAATGCACAAAGAGAAGGGATCAACTAAGCCAAGATCGGGAATATGAGCTTCACAATGAACAAAGAGAAGGGATCAACTTAGCAAAGATCCGGAACATCTCACCAAGTATGAACAAGTCCAAGAGATGCTAGACTAATGAAAACCACATGCACATGAAGGGAAGATCATCCGAGACATCACACCAAGTATGAATAAGACAAAGAGATGTTAGACTAATGAAAAGCACATGCACATAAAGAGAAGATCATCCGGAACATCACACCAAGTACGGACAAGACAAAAAGATGCTAGAGTAATKAAAGGCACATGCATATGAAGGGAAGATCATCCGGGACATCACACCAAGTATGAACAAGACAATGAGTGACTAGACTAATGAAAACCACATGCATATGAAGGGAAGATCAACCGGAACATCACACCAAGTATGATTATGACAATGAGTGACTAGACTAATGAAAAGCTCGTGTACATGAAGGGAAGAACATCCAGAACATCACATTAAGTCTGAGCATGACAATTAGTGACTAGACTAATGAAAAGTACATGTACTGAACGGAAGATCAACCGGAACATCACATTAAGTATGAGCATGACAATGAGTGACTAGACTAATGAAAAACACATATACATGAAGGGAAGATCAATCGGAACATCACCCCAAGTATGAACATGACAATGAGTGGCTAGACTAATGAAAAACACTTGCACATGAAGGGAAGATCAACCGGAACATTACACCAAGTATGAACATGACAATGAGTGGCTAGACTAATGAAAAGCACTTGCACACGAAGGGAAGATCAACCGGAATACCACACCAAGTATGATCATGACAATGAGTGACTAGACTGATGAAAAACACATGTAACATGTTATTCGTTAAAATAGGACATTATATTGTGTCCTCTTTTCTAACGAATTCATTTTTGCCTGCATTCCAAGCAACGTAGGCACGCTCATCCACGGCTTAACCACATGCAGAAGTGTGCTGAGATCCGTACTTGTGAAACTTTATAAATGATATCCCAAATCAGGAAGCGTATTCAAACCTGTACATGTTAGGCACGCCGCACGGGAACCTTGTGTGGAAGTGTGCCGGGATCCTTACTTGTTGAACTTCAAAAATATGGCACTGTTGGAAATCCTGTGCGGAAGTGTGCCGGGATCCGTACTTGTTAAACTTCATAAACGAATAACGATAAGCACATCTATTAGGGAACCCTGTGCGGAAGTGTGCTGGGAGCCTTACTTGTTGAACTTCAGAAATGTGTCGTGAATCTTGTGCCGATGTGTGTCGGGATCCGCAGTTGTTAAACTTCATAAACGAATAACGACAGACACGCGTATTAGGGAACCCTATGCGAAAGTGTGCTGGGATCCGTACTTGTTAAACTTCAATTCCATAATTGTGACGAGCAATGTGTCATGATTGCATCCTCGTTGGATAATTATATTAGAAGACGTGATGAGCAAGTTGTCATGATTGAATCTTTATTGGATAATACTATTTATTTCTTTTACGCGTGAGTTGTACATGCATGACTATCGTCTCGTCCGAGGCGGTTGTCTGGATGTTGTAGAGAATCAGTCTTCTTTAGAAGTACAAACAGTAACTGTTATTTTTGACATACAATTTATTTTTCCCGGTCAAGAACGCAAAATTGTCGGTCACATGTAATTCAGGCGGTCACAAGTACATGATTGTCTATGCACACAAGAGACGTGATGTCACTCGTCTTTCACTCTTTGTATAACGAACCTCACACACACCCACACACTCGTCGAGATTTGTCTTGCATCCACACTCCAATTCGTCATGTCGCACCACACACACGAATATCATTTCGAGGTGAATTATATGCACAACCTT